GACAGACAGACAGACAGACAGACAGACAGACAGACAGACAGACAGACAGACAGACAGACAGACATACAGACAGACAGACAGACAGACAGACAGACAGACAGACAGACAGACAGACAGACAGACAGACAGACAGACAGACAGACTAAGAGATGAACTAACCTATGGCTAAAAATTTCTATAATAAAGAGAAAAAAAAAAAAAAGACAGACGGACAGACAGACAGACAGACAGACAGACAGACAGACAGACAGACAGACAGACAGACAGACAGACAGACAGACAGACAGACAGACAGACATACAGACAGACAGACAGACAGACAGACAGACTAAGAGATGAACTAGCCTATGGCTAAAAATCTCTATAATAAAGAGAAAAAAAAAAAAAAAAAAAAAAAAAAGACAGACAGACAGACAGACAGACAGACAGACAGACAAACGAAGATACCGGTGGAGGGACTTTTCCCGAAGCACGACCAAATGACCTGGCCACCTACACCGTACGGCGAGGCAGAGGCAGACAACACCGAAGGTAGACAAGTCTCCAACGAGGAACTCGTAGCAGTGGCGAAAGGACTGAAGACGAAGAAAGCTCCCGGTCCGGATGGAATCCCCAACGTGGCGTTGAAGGCGGCGATCCAGGCGTTCCCGGACATGTTCAGTATAGTGCTGCAGAAGTGTCTGGATGAAGGTCACTTCCCGGACCGATGGAAGATACAGAAGCTAGTGCTGCTGCCGAAACCCGGAAAACCGCCGGGGGATCCAGTATCGTATAGGCCTATATGCTTGCTAATACAGTCGGAAAGCTATTGGAGAAGATTCACGGAGAGTGAGCATGGATTGTCGGTGAGGCAGTTCGGTTTCCGGAAAGGGAGATCAACGGTGGATGCAATTCGGACAGTGGTCGAGAGTGCCGAGAAAGCGTCTAAACAGAAGCGGAGAGGAGATCGATATTGCGCCGTGATAACGATCGACGTGAAGAACGCCTTCAACAACGCCAGCTGGGAGGCCATCGCCGAAGCACTGCATGGAATGAGTGTTCCTGATTACCTGTGTAGCATTATAAGGAGTTACTTCCAGAACCGGGTTCTAGTCTACGAGACGGACATGGGAGAGAAATCAATCCGGATCACGGCGGTTGTGCCACAAGGCTCCATCCTTGGCCCAACGCTCTGGAACGTGATGTACAACGGCGTGCTAACGCTGAAGTTGCCCAAAGGAGTTGAGATCGTAGGATTTGCGGTAGTAGGCGAGACGTTAGAAGAGGTAGAAATGCTGACAACCGAGGCGGTCGACACGGTTTCCAACTGGATGCAAGGAGCGAAGCTGCAGATAGCCCACCACAAAACGGAAGTGCTATTTGTCAGTAACTGCAAAGCTGTTCAGCGAGCAGAAATTACCGTCGGGGAGAACGCCATAGCATCAAAGCGCGTGCTGAAGTATCTTGGAGTGATGATCGATGACCGGCTAAACTTCAATAGCCACGTCAACTACGCATGTGAGAAGGCGGCGAAGGCCATCAATGCGATAGCCAGAATCATGCCTAACAATTCTGGACCAAGCAGCAGCAAGAGGCGACTTCTGGCTAGTGTATCGTCGTCGATACTGAGGTATGGAGGTCCAGCCTGGGATGCAGCGCTGAAAACGAAGAAGAACAAAAGAAAATTGAACAGTACGTTCCGCCTCATGGCCATGCGAGTCGTGAGTGCGTACAGAATAATTGCGACGGAAGCAGTATGCGTTATCGCCGGTATGATACCCATCGTCATCAGCTTGACGGAGGACAGCGGATGCTATATGCGAAGAGATACCAGAGGAGTACGAAAAATGGTGAGAACGGAGTCGATGGTTAAGTGGCAACAGGAGTGGGACGCAGCGGAGAACGGTAGATGGACACACAGGCTAATACCGATTGTTTCGACCTGGGTGAACAGGAAGCATGGAGAAGTCAACTTCCACTTGACGCAGTTCCTGTCTGGTCATGGCTGCTTCAGGAAGTACCTGCATCGCTTTGGACACACAACGTCACCCCTCTGTCCGGAGTGTGGCAAGCTAGACGAAACGCCGGAGCACGTGGTTTTCTACTGCCCAAGATTTGAGGCAGTGCGAGTGGAGATGCCGGCCCTTAGCGCGAGAAATGTCGTCAGTGAAATGTGCCGGGATGAGAGGACGTGGAGCGTCAGACAGATATTGGAACTGCTTGTAGAATTCCTGGGGAGAAATTCATTGAGGAATTGTGAACATCATGGAACGAGTTATTGTAGAATACCTGTATGGAATTCTTGGCAAAAAAATCTTACAGGATTCATCGAAGCAATTCTTGTTAAGCTCCTGGATAAATTCTTGGAGATAATGTTTGTAGATTTTGTCCTGTATAATTCATTGGAGGAATTTTTGGATTCTCGTAGCATTGCTTGGAGGAATTCTTGGATTCTCGTATAATTTCTGGGAGGAACTCTTGTAGAATTTCTGGAGGAATTCTTGCAAAATTCGTAAATGAAATTCTGGCTAAATTCGTAGGTCAATTTCCCTTGAAATTTCAAGGAGGAATTCTTGTAGAATACCTAGGCAGATTTTTTTTTATAAAATTACTTGGTGGAATACTTACATAGTTATTGAGGACATTTTGGAGATGAAATATTTTTGAATTCCTGGCGGACATTAATGTGAAAAAAATCTTTAAAAGTTTGTGGAAGTAATTCTAGTGCGGAGGAATCCAGGAAAATTTTATAAATAGAATTTTTGTGGAATACCTGAGGCGATTTCTTGTATAACTTGGAGAACTTCATGTAGAGTTCCTGGGGCGAATTCTTGTAGAATAATGATTTTTTAGCAATACTGAAATACTGTAGCTCTTATAGAATTCGAAATATTTGCAGAATTCCTAATTCATATTACTGCATTCAGTCAGCTTCGCCTATAAATGTCACCCATAAATAGCGATAGTACAAAGATATTCGATTATCAAGATGGTCATGTGGGCAGTTTTGCCATACAAATCACAGGAGACATGCCATTTTTGCTACCATGCCCAAGTAACAATTTTGGTTTTATGAAGGTTCTGGTTGACCATGATTTAGACTTGTAGAATGCTATAAAACCGCGATGAAATCTGCAATGTTACTTGGGTGGTGTTCCCTAGCGGTCAAACGTTGAACTGTAGATGGAATCTATCTCAGTATGCTGGTAGACTGTGCAATATTGCTTTGTTTATTTATGAATTATGAGTCCTGTCAGAAACGTATGTTGGAAGAGCACATTAAGCCGAGCTGTTTTTGGAATGGGAAAATAGCAGTGAATTATCTGCAAAGCTGACAAACATGTCCTCAAAATAATATCTTACACACTAAGATTATTTTACCGAAATCTCAACTGCTGAACGTTCGGTAAACAGTTCGGTGACTGTTCACAGTTTTCTGTGACAAATCACCGAACTGTTTACCGAACGTTCAGCTGTTGAGATTTCGGTAAAATTTCAAAGATTTCGGTAAAATAATCTTAGTGTGTACAGATTGCGATAAGTTTAGGAAAAATAAGTCCAGTCCATTAAAACGAACATTGTGATTTGTTGAACAGGAGGATGTAAGTAGTTCTGCAATTACTTTGCCCAGTAGCTTTGTAACAGCGCGCTTAATTTCTTAAGGGAATTTAACCCTTTTTTCTGCTTTACTTTTTATCTTCTATGAGCCAATACTTTCATAAGAATAAGTTCCGATTCTCCGTGCAAGATCGCTCTCGTTGTTTTTCGCTAAAGCAGCTAAAATCTATATCACGCGTGAATAATAAAAAGAATTAATTCTTCTGGCTTCTTCCTAATATTGTTGGGACATTATCAATGCAAAGGTTCCTGCACTGAACGAAAACATTCGCAATACTTCGAATGATTATTGCATTGCTCGAGCCCGTTAACAATATGCATTCGAATTTCGGACGATTTTCTTACGGTTGAATCCGACGTCAGACGATGAACATCCTTATGACTGTCATCCAAATAAGGGACGATTTTTATTTGACAATTCCATACTGATTTTTGACGTAGGATTACGTCTTTCGGCAACATATTAGGGGTGCAATTTCTAAAAAACCAAAATTGACCGCGTTACGAAAATTGGTCAGTTTTTGACCACTTATAGCTCTATCAATAGCGGATAGATATTAATTCTAAACAAGCCAATCGACTGGAATGTCATCTATGAATCTTCTAAAATGAACGCTTTATCAAATTTCAAAAGGTCACTTTTGAAAATTGCACGAATGTGCAACTGTTGCTATGATAATGAATATTATCGCGATAACGAGATATGACATCAATTTAATATTTGCTTTACATTTGCTATCACATCAAAACAACCTTTCGTAATGCTACGTCAAATCTACGGTTGTGTCTTGGATACAACCTCTTTCTTTTTTTTCATAATTACTTTATTTGTACAGGGTCAATCGAATAAACTTTACAGTGCAAACTTCCTCCACTACGGAATAGAAAAACTTCGGTTTCCCGGCTCTATCCCTTCTCATAACAATGTTAAACCTGTATTAGAGAGGAACATCAACTGATTTCAAAACAACCATCATCCGGTTGCAGCTATCATTCGAAAAAGCGATTTCGATGTTTCAATTTTAATGGTCTAAGGTTTCATTCGATCAGAGGATGATATTTGTTTACAGTGTACTACAGTTCGTTGAACAACTTCTAACTTTTGAAAAAAAAGCGCTGCTATTATTCTGTGACCTTCTTTTCGATGAAGTTGAAGGGGTCTGTTTGAACTGTTTCCTCTCTGAACAGCTTCTTAGAAGTTTTCAAACTGCGCATCACATCCAATCGACAACTGCGCATTGAAATAGAACCAACCTAGGAAAAATCCGCAATCAGAAAAATCATGCTGATCGAACGCTTCCTCAGCGCGCTGTAAATATCCGGAGGCCGTAGAATTCGACTGGACAAACATCCGTCAACACATTGTTTACATTGAAGATATTTAAGAAAAGGTTGCGACTTACCTAACGATGCTTCCGGATCGCTCAGATCCGACAGGCTCGGGACCTTCTGGATGTTCCGTATGTGCGGTGCATCGTCCAGTGGTTCCTGTTTCAGCTGAATGTGCGACTCGCCATCGGGACTCTGCGGAAGAAATAGATCACAACAACACGAAGGTCAGTAATCAGCGTTCGCTTCTTGCTTATTTCGATGAAAAATGATAACTTTTGAGTACCCTCTTTGTTACATCCTGTAGAACGGCTTCTTTGCCACCGTGTCAAATTACCACGCAACGTCAAAACTGACATCTTCATCACCGAAAAAAAAAAACCGACACGGGTCCAAGCAACCGTGTCGAAAGAGGAAGTAAATACAAACAAGGAGCATCCCCTCGGACCGATTTCCAAATTAGTGCACTTTTCCATCAACAACAGCCGCCGACAATTTGGCATTAAATTTATGACGGGGAAAACCTAACCTCTCGCTTTGTCAATATGTACTACTGTACACCCATTACAAGTGGTTCTGTGCCGGCGGAAGATGGGTCTCCAAGAAGAGAGAGCAAGTCGTGATGACGGATGAAATGATGATCTATGCATGGATGGTTCCAAAATTAAGTCGTCAGCTACAAAAACGAGGGGTCATAAATATGTTAACGAAATAATGATAATTTTTATGTCTATTTACGCGGTTCCGGCTGAGCACCCTTGGAGACTAGAGCATGCAGGGATAATCTTTATTGGTTCATGATGCGATACGGGAGGGGATAGTCGGATCGAGTCGAGCGACTAAAACTAAGTAGGCACAGGACGCTGCCGAACTGCCACGCTTGCTACGATACGGGTTTTTAACGATACCCAGTCTCGGTCGGGATGTTTGATTTATGACGAAAATAACACTATATTTAAGAGTGTTGTGTTTTATGACCTACGCTCCACGAGATTTATGGGCTCGCGAAATGACGAATGTTCGAACATCAAGATCGATCTAATATTGACACTTTTCTGAAGCAGCTAATCGAACGGAAATGAATCATGGGAAATTTGAGCCGCGATAACATTCTAGTTCCAAATTCACGACCCACTTCTAGCCACGGTTTACGATCGCGCGCATTTTATCGCTTCCAGAAGGGGGCGCTGCAACGAATCGCGCAGCTGTTTAGTATATTCCACGAATTATACACACATTTATTGCGGAGCATTTATTTCACTTTGTTTTCGCTGTTTTTTGTTTACTACTCCTAAACTTGCGCGCCTACTCACTGGCATATTCAAATCAACCGTCCCTCGCGCTCGCTGTCAAGTAGCTCTCGCCTGCTCAATTTTATGAATGAATTAGATACACTACGATCGACACCCAGCAGCACGCACCAACACACGAACGCGCAATTTCATTCATAAAAAAAAACGCAGAAAACTACAACTACTAGTCGCACACACTGACGATTCGAAGCAAGCCACGACTTTTCCGTATCGATAGACTCTCCACTAGAACTGCACTGCCTACTAGATCGAAACCGGCCGGTACAATCAGAGATGCAAGCCGACATGATGCAACGGCGGCGACATTTTTTTTTTTGCGCGATTCACCTGTCACTTTTTGCGGAGCAATTTACGACCGGACAGCCGGCAGATTTTCCTCGACCGTCAACGAAAGCGAAAGGGTTTTCGAAGAGGAGTACGTCGCCGACGAACGACGATCAGGGCACAACCCCCAGCTGATGGGGTGCCATTTTTCTTTCGCCCGTCGGCGCACCGTTATAATTAATATCGTTATTGCCGAGATGAGTCCCAATATTTTGACAACCGCGCACCGTTGTGCAAAATGCACAACAACGACGGACGGTGCAAAATGAATGCCGCGGAAAATCGCTTCGGCTTAATCTTTTACGAGCGTTTTTCTCTTTCACGGTTGCTCGGAGAAACGATTGATCAAGTCCCGGCCGGAGACACACTGCTGCGAGGGAGCGCGTGGGCTGGAACGGAGATAAACAGGGATTCCGATGAGTGAGGACATGAAAAATTTACTCCGGATAGCACAGCTGTGCGCCTTCGAGCGCGAGGGGACGCAAGGGGTTTCGCGAGGAAGGTGAGATGATTTATTTTGAATAAGAAAATATATAGGACTACCTGCAAGGTGATTTTTGGAAATAATTCTGGGTAAGAAATCACTCGAATCTTTTATCGAAGTTTGTTTCAGTGTACGACGAATTTCATGCCTCACTCTCAGCTTACAATGAAAATGTGGAACTGGAGGACTCAAAATCCCAAAACAGAGACAACATTGTACACTAGGTGAAGCATCAACGAAGGACGTTGGACCTGGAAAAGTAAGAAAAGGTTATTCCAAAAAAGGATTTTTTTTTTAAATTACTTGTAGACGAAATCATTCCATTCCATAAGCAAGTTTTATTTCAGTGTTATTGACTCGTACAAAGTAAAAGAAAAGTATCGGAAAGCTAGTTCACTTTTCCACTACCAGGGTGCCTACTCATTTTGCTAAATAATGTTCTCTGAGTTTTCCAATTTTTTCCAGGACGGAAACGGAAAATTTCCAGGTTTTTAAAGAAACGTACAAATACGGTCAACTTTCAATAATGTTAAATCTTCTGAACAGCTCTTGGAAGGAACTTTCAAGAAGCTCACAGAAATTGTAAGTAGTTCTTCGAAGTGCATGCATCTTGTAAGCATCTGTCGGAAACTCTTCAGAAGTCTTCAAAATTTCTAGTGGGCTCTCGGATCTTCTGGGAAATTCTCAAATCTTCTAAGAAGCTTTCGGAAATTATGGTGGAACTGATGGGAAGTTATCCAAACTTTTGGGAAGTTCTCGCACCTTCTGGGGAAGTTCATGGCTGTTCTGAAATCTTCTGGATGGTTTATGGCACTTCTGGAAAGCTCTCGGAAATTTTGGGTTGTTTTGGATTTTTTTTTTGGGATTTTCTCAGATCTTCTCAGAAATTCTCTGAACTTATGAGAAGCTCTCGAAAATTTTGTATGACTAACTAAATTTCTCGAAAGTACTCACATATTCTAGGAAATCTTAAGAAGTTTTGAGATCATCTGGGAAGTTCTCGGAATTTTTGGAAAGTTCTCGTTTTTTCTGTGAAATTCAAGGATCTTCTGAATAGTTCTTGGAAGGAACTTTAGGAAAGCTCACGGACGTTCTTCGAAGTGCATGCATCTTGTAAGCATCTGTCGGAAACTCTGGGCAGTTCACGGAACTTTTGGGAAGTCTTCAAAATTTCTAGTAAGCTCTCGGATCTTCTGGAAAATTCTCAAATCTTCTAAGAAGCTTTCGGAAATTATGGTGGAACTAATGAGAAGTTATCGAAACTTTTGGGAAGTTCTCGCATCTTCTGGGGAAGTTCATGGCTGCTCTGAAATCTTCTGGATGGTTTATGGAACTTCTGGAAAGCTCTCGAAAATTTTGGGAAATTTTCGGAATTTGCACGGATTTTTTTGGGATTTTCTCAGATCTTCTGAGAAATTCTCTGTACTTATGGGAAGCTCTGGAAAATTCTGTAAAGCTAACTGAATTTCTGGAAAGTGCACGGATATTCTAGGAAGTCTTAAGAAGTTTTGAGATCATCTGGGAAGTGCTCGGAATTTTTGGAAAGTTCTAGTTTTTATTCTGGGAAATTCAAGGATTTTTTGAACAGTTCTTGGAAGGAACTTCTTGGAGGCTCGCAGAAGAGTAGTTCTCGGATGTCTTCTGAAGTGCATGCATCTTGTAAGAATCGGTCGGAAATTCTGAGAAGTCCCCAGGGCATCCTGAGCAGAATTTCTAGTAAGTTCTCGGATCTTGTGGGAAATTCACAAATCTCGGAATTTCTGGCAAGCTTTCAGAAATTGTGGAAAGCTCTCGGAACTGAAGGGAAGTTTTCAGAATTTTCGAAAAGTTTTCATATCTTCTGGGAAAGTTCTTGGAAACTCTGGGAAGTGCTCGGAATTCCTACGAAGTTCTGGAATCTCCTGGAATGTTTAAGACACTTCTGGAAAACTCTCGGAATTTTTGGAAAGTGCTGTAAATGCACGGATTTTAGGGAAGAGCTCAGATATTATGAGAAATTTTCGGCACTTATGGGAAGTTCTCGAAAATTCTGGAAAGCTATCAAAGTTTCTAGGAAGCACTCGGATCTTCTAGGAAGTTTTCAAGTTCTGAGATTTTCTGAGAAATTTTCGATTTGTTGGAAAGTTCTAGGTTCTGCTTGGAAATTTTCGAAAGTTCAGGGACGTTCCGAGATCTAGAGCTTCAAACTTAAAAAAAAATACGAGAACTTCCAAGAAGATCTCACAACTTCTAAAAACTTCCTAGAAGATCCGAATACTTCCCAGAAATTCTGAGAGCCTTCCAGAATTTTTGAGAACTTCCCATTCGTTCCGAGAATTTCTCAGAAGATCTGAGAACATCCCAACAAAATCCGTGCATTTACATCCGAAAACTACTCACAATTTCTGAGAGCTTTCTAGAAATTCCTTCCAAGAACTGTTCAGAAGATCCTTTAAGTTCCCAGAAATTCCGAGAACTTAAAAAAAAACGAGAACTTCCCAGAAGATCTCAGAACTTCTAAAAACTTCCTAGAAGATCCGAGTACTTCCCAGAAATTCTGAGAGCCTTCCAGAATTTTTGAAATCTTTAAAACTTCCCCCGCCCTCCCCACCGAGCAAATTTTGAAAACTACCCCCTCGCCCCCCTTCCCACCGAGAGCTTTCCAAAAGTTCCATAAACTTTTCAGAAGATTAAAAAACTTCGCATCAGTTCCGAGAACATCCCAGAGTTTCCCAGAACTTCCCATCAGTTCCGAGAGCTTTCCAGAATTCAAGATCAGAAGATCCGAGAACTTACCAGAAATTCTGAGGACTTGCCAAAATTGCTAAGAACTGCCCAGAATGTCTGACAACATCCAATAATTTCCGTCAGATTCTTAAAAGATACGTGCACTTCGAATAACATCCGTTAACTACTCACAGTTTCTGTGAGCTTCCTAAAAGAACTGTTCAGAAGATCCTTGAATTTCCCAGAAATTGCGAGAACTTTCCTTAAATTCCGAGAATTTCCAAGAAGATCTCAGAGCTTTTAAAAACTTCCTAGAATACCCGAGTACTTCACAGCAATTCTGAGAGCTTTCCAGAGTTTTCGAGAGC